AAGTTCTATGCAGTAACAGCTAACAGTGAAGATTCCTGGGCTCTACTTTCTGCATCTTCTCATTCAGACAGTGTGTACAACAGTAGTCCCGTAAGATTGTAAGACTCTATTTTTACTGTACCTTTTGTATGTTTAGGTACACAAATACATACCATCGTGTTAGAATTGCCTACAAATTGCCTACAGTTTGTACTATAGTACAAACATGCTATGCTAGGTTTGTAGCCTAGGAGCCTCAGGCTATACCACACAGCCTAGGTGTGTAGTAGGCCATATGGCAGCCTACTTGGGTTTGTGTAAGTGCACTCTGTGATGTTCACATAATGACAAAATCACTGAATGACACATTTCTCAGAATGTATCCCTATGGTTAAGCAACACGTAACTCTCAGTGGCAATCTTGCTGGGGTACTATTCAGTTCCAAGGTATTTTGCAAACATTGTTAATTTCATTGTATCCAGTGAGTACAAAAGCAGTGAAAGTTTTAAATTATTGAATAAAAGGTGTGCAATTGTTATGGAATTGAAAGAAGAGATAATAAAAGATTGAAAGTGCTGAGAAAAATAAACCCTGTTGCTCTATGTGCTGTGAATTTTCCAAAAGGAGGTGTGGTTCAGAAGGACAAAGTACTTAGCTTGCAACCTGCTATGCATATACCATCATGATAATCAGCAAGAGAGGAGGCAAAAAGGACAAACAGAAAATCTAGAGCAGGGCACTACAAGATCCGCATCCAGATGGGCTACCTACCAGCCAGATACTCATTTAGGAGAGATCTGGGACTTAGCTCAGTGACCTAAACAGCAGAATATACTGAAAGTGCTGTTGCTGAGCTGTTCATTCATTCAGCACTTATTTTATTTTTTGAGACAGAGTTTCACTCTGTTGCTCAGGCTGGAGTGCAGTGGTGCGATCTCGGCTTACTGCAACCTTCGCCTCCCGGGTTCAAGCATTTCTCTCTGTAGCCTCAGCCTCCAGAGTAGCTGGGATTATAGGTGCCTGCCACCACATCCAGCTAATTTTCGCATTTTTTTAGTAGAAATGGGGTTTCACCATGTGGCCAGGCTGGTCTTGAACTCCTGACCTCAGATGATCCACCCGCCTCAGCCTCCCAAAGTCCTGGGATTACAGGCGTGAGCCACTGTGCCCGGCCACCTATTTTATTGAGTGTTCACTGTAAGCCAAACATTGTGCTGGCTATGGGGAACACATTAGTGACTGAAACAGACATAGCTAATCTCTGCTTATGAGGAACTTGCAGTCTGTGGAAGAATGGGAGATGGAGAGAGCAGGCAACAGCAACAGAAATATAGACGTGTAAATGCTGGTAAGTGCCATGAAAGAAATGAAATGAGGGCAGTGATAGAAGCAGCTGAAGTGGGGGTCGGGTAGGCAGTGGTGTCCAGATGGTTCTTGGTTCCAGGTCTTTGAAATCTGCACAGGTCAGGGTGGACGGGGCATGGCACATTGCAGCTGTCACGGCAGCTGAGGCCCTCCATGGGATGAGTGTGGAGGCGGGAGGGAACTACCTGGCTCCACAGATTTCCCGGGTACACTGATCTGATCTACCGTGGAGAAAAGAAGACCCATAAAATATTAGCATAAAGAAGCAGCATCTGCTGGTTTTAGTTTCAAGGGACTCAGATTAAGTGGAAATACGCCTTGTTCCCTCCAGACTCACAAACAAATAGACTTACAAAGAACGTAAACTGTGCTTACGTAGAGGAACTTCTGTGCTACCTGGCAAGAGTCTGGTGTTAATTTTTTAATTTCTTATCATTAAAGAACAGAGAAAATGTTTAATTGGATTTAGCTAAGAGAATTTTGTGCTCAGGCCTGATCTGGATTTTTTTTTCCTTATATTGTGCACCTAAGAGTCTCCTGAGCCCCTTCTTCTCTTCCTGCACTGATCTCGGTCCATACTGGTCTACACTTCCTGCTTTTGCAGACAACCACGTCTTTATTTAATAGATCAAAATGTATTCAGCATTTACTCATCGTAATGCTGTGTTTACTCAGATTAGGTTTGGATATGAGTAATAGAAGAATCCGAAAGTAAGAATGGCTTTAAAAGATAGAAAGTTATTTTTCTCTCAGATGAAAATTAAAAGCGGTATAGTCCAGGGAAAGTACAGCAGCTCTGCTCCACAAAATCTTCAAGAAGTCAGGAACCTCCTCCCTGGTGGCTCCACCAAGCTTGACTCCTGTTTGCCTCATGAGCCAACAGGCTTGCTGGAGCTCCAGTCGTCAGATCTGCATTCACAGACAGCAGAAAAAAGATAAGGGAGAAAAGTCCTTTCAAGGAAACTTTCTGGAAGCTGCACTTACCACTTTTACTTATATCCTTTGGCCCAGGACTAGTCATTTGTCTACACATAGCTGCAAGGAAGGTTGGGAATTTGTTTTCTATCAAAAATAAAAAGAAGGCCAGGCTCATGCCTGCAGTCCCAGCACCTTGGGAGGCTGAGGCAGGAGGATCATTTGAGACCAGGAGGTCAAAACCAGCCTGGGCAATGTGGAGAAACCCTGTCTACAAAAACTACAAAAATTAATCAGTTATGGTGGCACATGCTTATAGTCCCAGCTACTTGGGAGGCTGAGATGGGAAGATTGCTTGAACCTGGGAGGTGGAGGTTGCAATGAGCTTAGATCATGCACTTGCATTTCAGCCTGGGTGACAGAATGAGACTCTGTTTAAAAAACAAATGTAGAAAGCAAGCCTGTCTCAGCCAACAAGCTCCGCAGGTTATGTGTTACTGGTTTTATCTTCCAGTCTTTGTGGCTCTGCTGAGCTATTCTTCATCTTTATCCTTGACTCAATTCCTTTTGAAGTGCTGCTGCCTATGAGAGGCCTGATCTCCATCATCTCTGGAGGGAAAACACACTGTGATTTTGTCAGAGCTGAAAATTGCCCATTGGGCAAAACCCCAGACACTAGAAGACATCCTGTGTACTACTAGAATTTGTCCAAATCGCAGGAGCTTATAAATGAACCATTTAGCATCTTCATTTTCACTGTCTTACAGACTGAAGTGTTAATATTTTTAGAAAGTTTGAGCAAGGGGGCAAGAAGAGAGTTAATTTTTATGAAAGAGCCATATTATGACATATGTGAGCTTGGAAGTACTTCACTCACTTAGGACTCTGCTATGTTGCTGTCCCCTAAAGTTTGGATGTTGAAATCCAATACCTAATATGATAGTATTAAGGGATGGAGCCTTTGGGGGGGTGATTAAGTCATGAGGGCTCCACCCGCTTGAGTGGGATTTGTAATCTTTTAAAAGAAGCTTGAGAGAGCTTCCTTCCTTTTTTTCACCAAGATGAGGAACAGGGACTCAACAAGCACAGAACCTGCTGATGTCTTTTTTTTTTTTTTGAGACGGAGTTTCACTGTTGTTACCCAGGCTGGAGTGCAATGGCGCGATCTCGGCTCACCGCAAACTCCATCTTCTGGGTTCAAGCAATTCTCCTGCCTCAGCCTCCCAAGTAGCTGGGACTACAGGCTGAGCCACCATGCCCAGCTAATTTTTGCATTTTTAGTAGAGTCAGGGTTTCACCTTGTTGACTAGGATGGTCTCGATCTCTTGACCTTGTGATCCACCCGCCTCGGCCTCCCAAAGTGCTGGGATTACAGGCGTGAGCCACCACGCCCGGCCCCTGCTGATGTCTTGATCTTGGACTTCCCAACTTCTAGAACTGTGAGCATTACATTTCTGTTATTTGTAACTTACCCACTCTAAAGTGTTTCGTTATAGCAGACTGAAGTGTTAATATTTTTATAATTAATGAACTGAATGAACTTAGACCTCCAAAAATTAACAGTTGGCATGCAGAAGTTCATTCACTGTATGACTTTGTTCAGTATCTATTTCTCGAGCACCTACTCTATGCCTGACACCAGGCACTGGGCATATAGCAGAGAACAGGACAGTCAAGATCCTCATGGTGCTCATATTCTAGTGGTGGGGAGGGTAAGAATGAACAAGCAAACACATCAGAACAGAATTTCAAGTAGTGGGTTAAGGGAGAGAATGACTGGGGAGGGTGGGGAAACTATTGTAACAGGAGGTGACATATTATTATCCATGAATGATAATAGTTAACTCTTATTTACACTTCCCACACAATAGGCGTTATTCTAAGATTTTACATGCACTGGTGTATTTGACTTTCACAACTATCCATCCACTCAGGCACACAGAGCCTTTGCCTCGCTCAAGGTGGCAGAGCTGAGGTGTGAGCCCGGGCAGGCTGGCTCCAGAGTTCTTGCTCTTAATGCTTCAAGATAAAATCTCATGAGAGAATAAGCAGAAGACAGCCACATTAGGATGTGGGAAAGAACATTCCAGAAAATTGACAAAGCAAGACTCAAGTTTCTGAGGCTGGCTGGCACCGAGATGTTTGGAGATCCACAGGAAGGCCAGCACGACTGGAGACTGGGCTGTGAGAAAGCCAGGCCGAGGTCTGCTGACAGGGCCAGAAGGCCAACCCAGTAGGGAATTGCCAGAGAGTCACAGGAAGGGGCAGGCCTGCATAGCACCTTTTCTTCCCCATCACTCAGCCTTGCACAGTACGTCACTGCACCTGAGATGCTGAGCCACACTCCGCAGCAGAACCACACGGGTCCATCTGCTTTCCACTTAAGAGCCAGGTTATCTACGGAGAGGCCTTATGCTGACATTGACGCAAATGTATTTGTTAGTGCAGTTAAGAAGCATCTCTGTTTTTTCTTTTATAACCCCTCACCTTTATAATATGGCCAAAAACTAGGTGCTTTCGGGGTTCCTTGGAGGAAGAGCCCATGCTGCCTGTTTATCCCTGGGTTGGCAATGCCAGCATCTCTACCTGGGGTTTTTAAGTATGCTCCTGACAGGTGGGAGGAGGGCTCGAGTGTGCTGCCTCCATGGGCCTCTTCCCTTGGAGGTGTCAACGTGAAAGTCCTCCTCGTGTTAATAACACCACGACCATCCCTGGGTCAATGGCTGACTGGGGCCTGGGGTGGTCGTCAAGGGCTGTCTGCTGTGGATTTAATGTTTATGTTCCCCTAAGATCTGTACATCAAACCGCTTGATAGGGTTTGGATCTGTGTCCCTATCAAATTTCATGTCAAGATGTAATCCCCAATGTAAAAGGTGGGGCCTGGTGGGAAATGATCGGATCACGGCGGTGGTCCTTCCTGAATGGTCTAGCACCATCTACTGCTGCTGTTCTCATGAGATCTGGTTGTTTACAAATGGGTGGCACTTCCTCCCCACCTTTTTCCTGTTTCTGCCATGTAAGATTTGCTTGCTTCCCCTTCCTTCGTGATTGTAAGTTTCCTGAGGCCTCCCCAGAAGCAGAAGCAACTGTATTTTCTGTACAACCTGCAGAACATGAGCCAATTAGACCTCTTTCCTTTATAAATTACTCAGTATTTCTTCATAGCAGTGTGAGAACGGACTAATACACCCCTAAACCTCAGTGTGATGGTATTTGGAGACGGGGCCTTAGGGAGATAGTCAGGTTATCAGGTGAAGCCTTTGCAACAGGATTATTGCCCTTATTAGAGGAGATGTGAGAATGCTTGCTTCTTCTCTCTGGCTTGTCTTTGCAGAAGGGGCTGAAAAAATGGGACAAACCTAGAGATTTGGTAAAAATCCTTGAAGGTTTTTTAATTCTTTGGGTGGCCGACGTTGCTTCTCCTGCTAGTCTCTCAGTGGAGCCAACTGGTTGGGCATGAGTGGTAATAACTAAAAGGTTTAGCCTAGCACGTGTAAAGTGAGGACTTACTACAGTGCAAGGTGGTACTGGCAATAACAGCGAATTCTTTGAGCCTGATGACCTGAATCTGAAAAAAAAAATGGCATCATATCCAGGCAACTCACAATCTCCTCTGAGCTATGTGGAAGCACAGAGGTTTATCTTCCTGCCAGCTTTGCACACATGGATAGAATACCAATTTTTAGAGATGAAAGGAACCCCAGGGAGCGACCAGTGTTTTCTGGCTGGCAAGCCAGATTTTTAACACCGCATGCCTATTCTCTTCCCCATTCCCCATCCTCGTTGGTCCCAGTGGTTGTGTCTCCTTTTCTTACTCTGGGGTCAGTTGCAGAACATGTTTAGGGTTGACCAGTTTGCAGACTAATTTTGATGGGAACATATTGATCTGCTGGTTTCACATTTGAAGAACTGGGCTAGGAAGAATGTAAAGTAATTTGTCCAACATTGTATGGTGATAAGCGGAGGAACTGACCCTTAAACCCAGACATTTAATTTTATTTATTGGCTTAAGGTTCAAGTTGTTTCTAGTAAGCCAGTGTTTCCCCTGTGGCTGGGTCCCGCCCCAGGGGTTCTGATTTAATTGGTTTGAGGCATCTGGATTTTCAGAATCTCTTCAAGTATTGTCGCGTGCAGTCACTGTTGACAGCCACCTATGGGGTAAAATGCAAGGCTGTGAGTTGCTTCAGGTGAGGTTAGAGGAACTTGCAGTAGAAGCAAACTGGATTATAGGATTATAGGAGATTATAGAAGAAAGGACTAGATCTGATAACTTTATGGAAGCCAACTGGGGCAACGAGGGAAATGGATCTTGGTTTCTAAATGCAGACTGTGATGGGCACAGGGCCACTGCTAGCCCATAGAGCTTTTGCACAAAACAAAAAAAAAAACAAACAAAAAAACTCCTCTAGGGAGACTCAGCCCTGCAGGTTCCAAGGTTGGCAAGAGGATGGTCCCTGTGTTGTGTATTTAAAAAGAACCCGTGCTTTGGGAGGCTGAGGCAGGAGAACTGCTTGAGGTCAGGAGGTTGAGATCTGCCTGGGCAACATAGTGAGACTCTGTCTGTGCAAAAATAAAAATAAAAATGAATTAGCCAGGCATGATGGCACACATCTGTAGCCCTAGCTATGCAGGAGGCTGAGGCAGGAGGATTACTGACAGCCAAGAGTTTGAAGCTACAGTGAGCTATGGTTTCTTGCTACTGCATTCCAGCCTGGGCAACAGAGTAGGACCCTGTCTCTAAAAATAAATGAATAAACGAATGAATGAAAAGAACCCCCTCCACCTTGTAGAATTCAGCCCTGCATCAGGCACATGCTAGTGATCAGAACAAGGACTGGATTTTGATTTCCACTTGCCCCCGTGGATAGTTCCTTGTGCAGTAAACAACCTGCACAAGAATTACATCAGTCTAGAGTAAGGACGTACAACCAACTAGAAATTCCATGCACTTAGAAGCTGTGTGTCTAACACCTCAACTTTCCTGTTAAATTCACCTGTTGGGGGAAAGAGAGTTTCATATATGCTCCTATTACTCTAGTCCTTACACTGATAAGGAGGAATTGCTTGGTAACATAGAAATTAGACTAGAGTTTTGGGAAAGCTCCCATGCTAACCTGGGGTGGATAAGCCTGGGCGTAATCCAACATGTTTCCCAACCCTTAAGAAGGTGGACCTTAGTGGAACTTTAAAAAAAGGTGTCCAAGCCAAGCATGAAACTTATAAAATAACATGGCTCAAGGGAATTGGAATATTGTCAAAAATATAATTCTTAAAATACTTTTTCTTGTTACGAAAGTGATCCAAACTAATTGCAAAAAATGTAGAAAATAGAAATGAGCCAAAAGAGGAAAAGAGTCACTTGAAATTTTGCTGCTCAGAAATAACCACTCACAGTTTTCTGTTTATCCTATCAGTCTCTTTTCTATGCTTACAGATACATTTAGGATACATTTATATAGACTTTTTGGTCTGCTTTTAAACTTAATAACATTTCATAAGTATTTTCCATGTAATTAGCTATTCCTCAACCTTGTTATTTTAACAGTTGGATGGTAACCCACTTAATAGTACTGTAAGAATTTATGTAATCCATCCTTATTTTGGAATTTACATTGTTTTCATTTTTTAATTATAAATAGTGTTTGACGAACATTCCTTGAGTTTCATCTCTTGCCACATGTATTAGTCAGGGTTCTACAGAGAAACAGAACCAGTAGGATATATAGATAGATAGATGGATAAGAAGAGATTTATTATAGAAGTTGGCTCACGTGATTACAGGGGCTGAGAAGTCCCATGGTATGCTCTCTGCAAGCCAGAAAACCAAGAAAGCCAGTGGTGCAGTTCAATCCGAGTCCCAAGGCCTGAGAACTACTGGCATGAGAAGGGTTTTGACATCTGGAGTCTGATGGCCTGAGAATCAGGGGCTCTGATGTCCCAGGGCAGTAGAAGATGATGTCCCAGTTCCACAGGAGAGAACAAATTCACCCTTCCTCTGCTTTTCTGTTCTACTGAGGCCCTCCCACATTGGATGAGGGTGGATCTTTTTCACTCAGTCTGCTGATCCCAATGCTACGCTCTTCCAGAAACACTCTCACAGATAGAACCAGAAATCATGTTTGATATGCTATCTGGGCATCACTCAGCCTAGTCAAGTTGATGCATAATATTAACCATCATGATAGCACTATAGGGTGAATATAATTAACAACAATTTATTGTATCTTTTTAAATAGCTCTAAGGATGGATTTTGGATGTTCCCAATACAAAGATATGATAAATGAGGGGATGGATATGATAATAACACTAGTATGATCATTACACATTGTATACATGTATCAAAATATCACACTATACCCCATAAGTATGTACAGTTATTATGCCAGTTAAAAATAATAATATAAGCCTGGGTGAGGTGGTTCATGCCTATAATCCCAGCACTTTGGGAGGCTGAGGTGGGCACATCGCATGAGTCCAGGAGTTCGAGACCAGTCTGGGCAACATGGTGAAAACCCATCTCTACAAAAAAATACAAAAATTAGCTGGGCATGGTGGTGAACACCTGTACTCCCAGCTACATGGGAGGCTGAGGATCACCTAAGCCTGGGAGGCAGAGGTTGAAGTGAGCTGAGATTGTGCCACTGCACTCCGGCATAGAAGATAGAGTGAGACCCTGTCTCAAAATAATAATCACGATAAAAGCAAAAAATTAACCATCACACCACATTCCTGAATAAATTCTTAGAAGTGGACATGAACCTTAAACACATCTTGCCAAATGGCTACACAGAAAGATTGTATCATTTTCTACTTCCCCCAGCAGTGGATAAGAATGCAGGTTTCCTGGAAGGCCCTCCAACGAGGCAACGAGGGGCAGAATAATATCTCTGATTTTGCAATTCTTCAACGCTAAATGTGAAAATGTGGAGAAATGTGGTGAAAATGTGGAGAAAAGGAAACGCTCGTACACTGTCAGTGGGACTGTAAATTAGCACAGCCACCATGGAGAACAGAATGGGGGTTCCTCAAAAAACAAAAACTAGAACTTCCATATGATCCAGCAATTCCACTTCTGTGCATATATTTAAAAGAAAGCAAATCAATATATCCGAATGACCTCTGCACTCCCATGTTTATTGCACCACTATTTACAATTGCTAAAATATGGAATCAACTTAAGTGCTCATCAAGGGATGAACGCATAAAGGGAATACGGTACATGGACACAGTGGGATACTATTCAGCCATCAAAAGGAATGAATTCCTGTCACTTTCAGCAAGATAAATGGAACTGGAGGCCATTAAAAGGGAAAAAGAAGGAAGAACCCAGCATCCTCCTCACAGGCAGTGTGTCTGATACCTCCCAGCCTTCAGGGTCAGCTCATTGTGTCCCTCCAGCCTCTTCTTACTCCTTTACAAAGGCAAGTGCACCTCACCCCATCTCTCCCACTGGGCTCAAGCAGTGTCAGGCAGCCAGATGCGTGCAGTGAGAACACCCATGAACAGGAACCCCGGAATTAACTCTGTGTGGTGAGATGGGAAAATGCAATGCAGGCTGTTACTTCCTCTGGGCCAGTGGGTTCAATGCAGGGCAGACAAATCTCTTTCTTGAAACCTTATTGTATGAGAACAGCCTACTGGAATCAGCAATTTGGGACTGTTTCTTTTCTGTTTTTGAAATAAAGTTTTCCATTTCATTCAAATGATCAAGTAAGTGTACTTGAGATATTCACCATCTTAAATGTTTATCATTTCTTTATGCTAGAACCGTGTGAATTATTCTCTTCTAGCTATTTTGAAATATACAATAGATTATGGTAAATTATAGTCACCCCACAGATCTAACACTAGGTCTTATTCCTTCTCTCAGCACCCATTAATCAGCTTCTCTTCATCTCCCCTCCTGCCTATCCTTCCTGGATCTGGTAACCACCAATCTACTCCCCATCTGAATGAGATCCACCTTTTAGCTCCCACATCTGAGTGAGAACATGCAAGATTTTTCTTTCTGTGCTCAGCTTATTTCACTTAACATAGCAGCCTCCAGCCAGAAACCTGGAGAGCGCCGATATTTTGGGGGCAGGTGGCAGAAAAGAAACCTTCAAAGCAAACCAAGAAGGGACTGCTCGAGGGGCAGGCAGAATAAAAACAGGTAAGAAAAAGATGTTCTGGAAAGAGTGAAGACAGTTTCAAGAAGAAAGAGGAGGTCAGCAGTGTCGAAGGATTGAGATTAAGGTTAGGATTAGGTCAGCGTTAAATAAAGGCGAAGGACAGCAGGCTGAGCATTGAGAGCATTGACAAGACCCAGATGTTCTCTCCCTATCCCCTGCTTCTCTCATGTGATCGTGATCCCATTCAGAAACTCAGGGGAGGGAGCATTCGTCCATCGCAAAGAGCCCCTGTTTGTTTACCACAGGGCCCATTTTAAGCAAATTTATTATGTGAAAACAGGAAATTACAAGTGTTAACAGTTGCTGGGCTGAGACTGCATGGCTGATGATTGCCCTTAACCCTCTACCCCTGCATGTATCTGTGCCCTTTGCTGGGCAGCTTTGTAATTCCTTCCACAAGAGGGCAAGTGTGTTTCCCTGCTCCTTGCCTTTCCGCGAAGCCGCTTGACTTGCTTTGGCTGCCTGATATTAGTGGATGTGATGCAAGCAGGAACTTGCTCTCTTGAACGTCTGTCATTACCCTGAAGAAAAAAAAAATCCCTGCCTGCTGGCTCACTGGTCCCTGGAGGATGAGGGGTGTATGGAGCAGAGCCATCCCTAGCCACCCACAAACTCATGAGTGAGAATTTGATGTGCTTGTTACTTATGCCACTGAGACTTTGCGGTTCTTTTTTTCAGAGCAAGCGTTTGAGTTTTCCACTATTCATTTAATAAAGACCTGGTGGCTTCATAAAAGCTTTAATCTGTCCTGCCTTTCTTGAGTCCCACCTTGGTGAGAAGTCTCACCCGCTTCCTGACTCCCTGCTGGAACGTGGTTCCTCTATTGCAGTCACAGCGCCCCTAGCTCCTGGGGCAGGATGGATTGAAACCATTCAGCCCCACCTCCCTTGCCCCACTCCATTCTAACATTCTATTTGACATAAATTAAATAATTTGTTCAACTTTTTTTTTTTTTTTGAGATGGAGTCTCACTCTGTTGCTCAGGCTGGAGTGCAGTGGCATAATCTCAGCTCACTGCGAGCTCTGCCTTCTGGGTTCAAGCGATTCTCCTGACTCAGCCTTCCAAATAGTTGGGATTACAAGTGTGTGCCTCCATGCCTGGCTAATTTTTGTATTTTTAGTAGAGATGGGATTTCACCATGTTGGCCAGGCTGGTCTCAAACTCCTGACCTCAGGTGATCAGCCAACCTCGGCCTCCTAAAGTGCTGGGATTACAGGTGTGAGCCACTGTGCTGGCCTATTCAACGTCTTTTATTGGATAGCTACTATATGCCTGTCTTTTAAAAGCAAACTCTCCTTAAAAAGAAAAAGAAAGAAAAGAAAATAGTTGGTTTTTTTCATGTAAATCACCCCATGCGGTGCCTGATATGTCATTGGTGATTCCCTGATGGTAAACATATTGTTATTTTAGAAAATAGTGTAATGAAATCTTTTTGCATAAATCTTGGTTTCCATTTTTAAAAAATTCTTGTATTTTTAAATTATAAAAGTAATGCATGTTTTAACATATTAAAATATCAAATTACATTTAAATTTTAAATTAATTGACAGGAGCTGGTTTTTCATGTCTCCCAGGGAACTGTCTGTGGGGTAAAATGAGGCTCAGTCTTGTATTATATGCTTAACACTAGGCCTGGTAAAGGGTCAACTCTCAATTTAGTGAGTGGAGTGAGGCCGCCACTGTGCAAGCTTAGGCTGGCTGGCACTCCTGCCAAGAACACTGAAACGGCCTCCTAACTGGTCTCCCCTCCTCCAGCCTCTCCATGCACTGGCTGATTAATTAATTAAAGCCTGATTAATTAAAGTGCATCTCTGATCCTGTCTCTCGATGCTCCATGCCCTTCTGTGGCTCCCCATTGTCTTACTGACTCTTTCTAACTTGTTTGAAGGCTCATAAACATCTGACCTGAAACCACTTCCTGAGCCATTTTTGCTTACTCCTCCTCATGAACGCAGTACACAACAAAGTGCACCGTTCCTTGAACACACCCCTCACTTTGCACCTTCTGGGTCTCGCTCAAGCTCTCTCCCGTGCTGGAAACGTGTTCTCCCTCATCCTCATGTGTCCACACCCTCCCCATTTGTATGATCTTCTCAAACACCTCTTCTCCATGAACCTCTTCTGACTTCTTTAGCTGGAATTGACTGTGCTTTCCTCTGCATGCCTTACTGCTATCCTTTCTTTGGATCAGGTTTCTTCAGCTCAGCTCTGTTGAGATTTTGGGGCTGGGTAATTCCTTGTCGTGGGGAGCTGTCCTGGACTGTTTAGGATGTTAAGCACCATTCCTGGCCTCTACCCACTAGAGGCCAGTAACACCCGCTCCACCCAGTTGTGACAACCAACAGTGTCTGAAGAGATTGGCCTAAGTCTGCTGGGAGACAGAATTGCCTCCACTCAGAAACTACTGGTCTAGAGTAATAATTATGCCGCAAATCCCTGCCACACTCGGAGGTGCGTCTTGCTTAGGAGGATTCTACTAAGCGCGCCAGGCCCTTTCAAGCCTCCAAGCCTTTGTTCATGCTGTTTCCTCTCCCGGGAATGCCCTTCCCCTCCGTCCTTCATCTGGTGATTTCCTCCATAGCCTTTAAGGCCTGGATGATACACCATCTCCTCTTGTTGCCTTTCCCAACCTGCCTCCTCTTCTCCAAGCAGAATGGATGGCTTTGCTCCCTGAGTTCCCACAGCACTTCGCACAAACCTCAGCCACAGCTCTCACCAGACCATGTCCCATGTTATAGAAAAGCAGTTGAAATAACTGTGTCCCTGGGTAGATTGCGAGTTGTGGTGTTGCAGGGGCCTTGGCTAGCTGAGGCCTCTCCAGTGCAGCGGGGCCCTGTCCCGTCTCCTGTCCATGGGAGGTGGTGGAATGAAAGGCGGTACACAGGAGTGGTTATGCACATCTAGAAATTCTGGAATAACGGTGCCTGGGGTCATGCTTGTCCCTCTGCTCATCGCTTGGAAGCATTTACTACTTGTGTGATTTTGGGTGATGCATTAAGCTCTCTGTAAAATGACATTATCATAGCATCTATCTTACAGGATTGTTTCAAGGATTTAGTATATAATACATAGAAAATGCTCGCCAGGTGCCTGGCACACAGTAAATGCTGGGTAAATCTTGGTAATTAATGGAGAATGGGTGTGTTGAGCTGGGTGATGAGGGAACTCAGATCTCACAGGCGGTTATACCATCTCTGTAACAAGGGTGATGCTCTTGAGACCAAAGCCTCTTCCCCTCTCCTGCCCCTTCCAGCTCATCCTCCCCAGCCTGGGCAGGGGGCACCCGCTGCTCAGGGAGCAAGGGCTGTGGGCTTGCTTCACAGTGAGGTAGCCAGGCTGGGCGGAACAAGGGCAGACATTAAAAACCTATTTTCTCACTGGGCATATGTAATTGGCAAAAAAGCTCTAAATCCATAGCTGTCAGGTGAAGTCATTTCCGAGAGAAAAGGATGGAGGGAGAGAGCAGGAGGGGGGCATGGGTGGGAGCCAGAGGGAGAGAGCAAAATGCAAAACCAGGAGCTGGGGAGACCAGGACAGATGCCTTCTTCCCTCTCCCAGATGAGGCTGCTCTCCTCGCTTCCAACCCGCCCTCATTGACTGTTTTCTTTTCTGGAAAGAGGTTTCTAAGGTGGTAAAAGCAAAGAAAGCCATCCATGGGATTATTTAATGAGTCAGAATGAATTGCATTTAAAATCCTTTAAATGGGATCTTAACTAGAGTGGGAAAGAATCTTTGTGCTAATTGCTGGCAATGATATTCATACAGAGAGAGAGAGAGAGCAGCCAACAATTGGCAGGCAGAGGGGTACTTTCAGGGTCTGGCCCACTTAGGTATGGGACTGAGCACCTTGGTGCAGCCACCTGGGGAACCCAAGACCCCTAGTAGGAGACAGGCAAGGCTTGGGTCCCACAGGGAGGGGAAACTGGGGGGGTGAGGTGAGGTGGGAGTGGCAGGGGAGACCCAATCTCGGCTTCTAGGAGTGGAAGCAGGGTCTAGCATCCTTCCAAGGGAAGAGCATTCCCAGGAGGGAGAGAAACTGAAGCTTCTAGTCCCGCGTTGGTTCTAACCTCACCATCCAGAATGTAAACTTTGGGCAGGCAGCAAACTTCACCTAAAGTTCAAGTGAGAGCACGGAGACTTCCCCACTTCACCCATTACAGGTTTTTCTATTCCATCCCACTCACTGAACCTGGAGTTCCTGCTATTCATTTCACTTTTTTTTTTTTTTAATGGAGTCTTGCTCTGTCACCCAGGCTGGAGTGCAGTGGTGCAGTCTCAGCTCACTGCAGCCTCCACCTCATGGGTTCAAGCAATTCTCATGTCTCAGCTTCCAAAGAAGCTGGGGGTACAAGCATGTGCCACTACGCCCAGCTAATTTTTGTGTTTTAAGTAGAGATGAGGTTTCATCATGATGACCAGGCTGGTCCCCAATTCCTGGCCTCAAGTGATCTGCTTGCCTTAGCCTCCCAAAGTGCTGGGATTACAGGCGTGAGCCACTGCGCCTGGCCTCACTTCACCATTAATCATTACTTTTGGCAGGGGGCATAGGATCCTGTTCATTAGCTTTTGAATGCACATATAACCCTGGGAAGGTATTATTATCTCCATTTTACAGATGAGAAAACTAAGACCTTGGATTGGAACTTAGTTTAGGACACATAGTTGATGAGTGACAGAGGGTGGCCCAAGACCCAAGGTGTGTCCTGCATACCTGTGGCCTGTTGGTCATTGCTTGTTATGGTGATGTTCAGCTAAATGTGAAGGACGATGTCCTCTGGTCTTCCAGGATGAGTCTACAAGGCTCATACCCTAGAATAATAAATATAGAAAATATTAAAATGCCAACTTTCATAAGAAAGATGTAAGAGAAAGCCAGAGGAGAGAAGGATTACTTCTGAATGAGTGGCCAGCAGAGGCGTCACTGTAAATATGGATAAAATCAGGGCATGCGGGGATCTGAAAGAGATGGTAACAGAGGGTATTGTTTGAACAAAGACAGGGAGGTGGGAAGGCATAAGACAAGTATTGGGAGCCATCACGTGTTTCTGTATGTCTGGACAGGAGGAAGAACGAGGGAAAGAGTTGGGGTCAGATAGTAGAGAGTTTTGCATGTAGATTGAGTTTGAATCTCATTGTGCAGGCAGTGGGGATTTATGGATGGTTTTTGAGTTGGGGAGTAGCTGCAGTAAATGATTAATTTGGCTGTGATGTGAAGAAAGGACTGGCGTAGAAATGGGATGACTGCTGGAACCAGCTGGAAATTATCATAGTACCCTACAGAAAAGGCAGTAAGTGTCTGAACTGGGGCAATGGCTGTGAGAAGGAGAGAAGACAGCTCTCTCTCTCTCCCTGCATCTCCATCCTTCGCTCTACCCTCAGCACCATGCTGGCTGTCATGTGTGTGCTCTGAGGTCCTCAGCAGTAGTTGGACCTCAGCCTGGGTTGGAAACACAGGTCGTGTACAACATGCATAGAATGTGGGACACAAAGCGGGTGCAGCCAGGAGGTCATCTGGTCATCAAGACCAGTCCTTGCCCTTTGTGGATGACAGCGCAAACCACCGAAGACCATGGTCACTTATCCTGCATTGTAACTCCCCAGACTCTCTTCTCTGGGAGGTCTGCCTTCAATCATCCTGACAGTCCAGAAAGTCTGCCCTAGCGCTTCTTCACCTTTGAGCAGGAGCATTTTCTAACTGAACTTTTGGCCGAGGGGAAGTCAGCCTCCCTAGTGTGGCTGGAACTCATCCCTGGAGTAAGGTAAACAGACCAGACCCGTCGGAGCCAGCTTTGATATAAGTGTGGGAACAGGTGGTTGGACGTGACCTTTAAGTTTCTTTCCACCCTGAATCTTAAATTTCCCTCATTGTGCTGTATGTCCCTTTCATTCTATCCTCTGTGCTGCCTCCTCCACAGCCACCTTGCGCCTCCTGAAGGATCTGCTTCCTGGAAGAGTTGTCCCTAGAGAGATTTGACCCTACCTTGAAGGCAGGGCGTGTGTCTTGTACATATTCCCTGTAAGACTAGCAGGAGGCATGATAGAGGGACATTTACTATTAATACTTTGCTTTTAATATTTTGCTGTTACTAATAATACTAATAATTATTATTAAAGCTGATTGTACTGTGTTCTGGGTATTTCAATACATTATTTCTAATCTCAAGCAAGCCTGCAAGGGAGATATTTTCAAATAACTGAGACTCAGGCCAAGTCACTTGTCCTCTGTGCTACAGCTAGAAGGGGAGACATCACGATTTTCTCTCGGGCTGGCCAGCTCTGAAGCTCTCTCTCTCTTTTATAGGTGGAACTGGGTGACCATTACCATGTTTCCAAATATCTCATGATTGGAAGAAGAATAATAGCAAACCATATTGAGTGTGCTAAACCTGGGTTATTGTCCATCTGAAGATCCCCACAAGAATTTATGGCACAGGAGGAAGCTTGGTTATTGTTCTAATTCCGCTGATCATGCAGCTTTCCACAGCTCTAGTCCTCTGGAGTTGGGGTGGGAGGACTCACATTCAGTTTCTCCTGGACAGAGGTCGCTGAGAAAATGCTGTTTTCCGGGGGTCTTCCGGCCAATAGATGGTGCTGTTGGACCCTGGGAAGTCCCACGGCCCAGTTGCAGAGGAATGAAGGTAGCATTGTGGTGCAGTCCCAGCTCAGCTCTGCTAAGGGGAAGGCACAGCTCTGTTTGTAAGAATGCACCCTGGAAACAGCCTAAATGATCATCAGGATGGGCCTGGTTAAATAAATGATGACACACCCATATAATGGAATGCCATGTAGCCATTAAAATGTTTGACATAGGTTTATGTTGATTGATATAGAAAGATATCTCACAATATATTTTGTTGAGGGAAAAGCATGCCTCGGGACATTTCATATATATAGCATTCTCCCAAAGATATTAAATTGTGTGTGAGAGAGACAGAGACAGATAGCAAGTCGGATGTTCACCAAAACTACGAGCAGCGTAGATCTTTAGGTTGGCGAGATTTCAAATGATTTTTACTTTAACCTTATCTGTAATGTGGGGGTTTTCGAAATTTTAAAAAAAGCATGCCTTATCTTTACAATTGGGAAAAACCAGATTGGGTTCCATTTTAAAATGTATAAACCAAACCAAACTGAATGTCTCTCTAACTCTTGCTGAAACAAAGTTCCTTTCAGAGTGTAGCCACCTCTGATGTCTCATCTGCGTGTTAGTGACTACTGATCCACTCTTTAAGGAGTGGAGACATTTGTCACCAATGTTAGAGAAAAGCCCTAGGAGGCTTTTCCTGGGGCTATTCCACGGTACGTTTCGCAGCTCAGGGACAAGGTGTAACCCTAGTCCTCCCCACCCTGTCTCAGCGACACCCATCACCCCTCCCCAGCCTGCACCTCCCATCCGCTCCTTCCACGCCTTCACCCTCTTTCTGGTGTTTCCAGAAGCTTTTGTATCCACACATTCTATTCAACAACGAGTCCCTGAACTTTCTAATTGAGATCAGAGATAAATATAGTGGGGAAGGCAGGAGGGAGAAGGAGGAGGCCTAGTTTTAATTTGCGGCACTTCCCATTAATAACAAATTCTAATTAAAAAATCTCTGTCTTCTAGCCTAGGTCCAAGGGAAAAGTCTCCCCAGGTCTGTCTGGCTGAAACCTTTTTGTCAGTGAGTTGGGGATGCAGCTTTCTACATCAGCCGAGCCCTTGCTGTCAGAAGCCATAATTAAGCTGGGAAAGGGGGGGAAAAAAAAGGATGTCATCTAAGACCATAGGGATCTTCTCTCACTGCAGTCCTAAAATGAGGCCATATACCTTCCTTGGACAGAGGTGCCTCTGGGCTATTCCTCTTAGAGAGGGTAGCCAGCCCCAGTGTGCAATGAGGCAGATGTTCAGTGGCATTTTTGGAGTGCAGAACCTCCTAGTAGAAGAGGGGAGCTCTAGGGGAGAGCCTTCACTGCATCATCTAGGGGGCATCTGCCTCATCTTTACTTTTTCTCTTCACCCAGAATTTTCTCAGTGGAGACTCCCTCCTTCTGTGATGTGTGTGTGTGTGTGTGTGTGTGTGTGTGTGTGTGTGGACAGGGTGCTGGTGCTGCTGACAGAGGAGCAAAGGCTATTAACAGTCTAAGATAGTAGGATGTGCCACTTAGTATTGATCTAAATACAAGTTTATTTATTTTTCGTCCTCCAGGAACATTTTGATGCCTTGCTGAACGGAGGTAGGCACTCAGTAAGCGGCTATGAATAAATGAAAGATGGAGTGAACGAAAGGGTCCACCCTGAACTTTTGATCTCTTATAGCCCCCCCTGCTTACTTAGCACCTCTTCTTGAAGGTTGAATCCTTAGCAAACTAATGCAGGAACAGAAAATCAGATACCACATGTTCTCACTTACAAGTGGGAGCCGAATGATGAGGCATCTCTGACTTAAGGTGCCCAAGGTCGTAGGTGTGGTCCAGGGTCATGTTCAGACCTTCCAGTTAGTTGCTCAGACCAGAAATCCAGCAAGAGGTCCCTTCCCCACTTGGTTATGACATCCCTGACTATTCTTTCTCTCACATGCTCATCCACGCGGCATTCCTGCTGGGTTCTGCCTTGAAAACATAGCCGGAATCCAGCGGGATTCTCTGCATCTCTACTGCTGGGACCTTGATCGGAATCCCCGTTGTCTCTCCTGTGTATGATTTCAGCAGCTTCCGGACTGTTCTGCCTGCTTCTACTCTTGTCTAGTAAAGTCTTTTCTAAACCCGGCAGCCAGAGGGGTGCACTTAGAGCCTTAGTCAGGTGGCCTCCCTCCTCTGCTCCAGTGCCTCCACTGGCTTCCCTTCTCACTCAGAGTGGAACCCCAAAGCCTTGCGGAGACCTCAAGCACTGCAGGGCCTGGCCCTTTTAAACCTTTGCCTCACTTCCTGCTACTCTCCCCTTGGTTCTTCCACTCCAGCCAGTTAGTCTCTCTGCCACTTTTTGACTGTGCCAGCCATAGCTCTACCTCGGGGTCTTTCTTTCTCTGCTTGAAAGCCTCTTCCTCCAGGTTCCCACACGGCTCAATCCTTCGCCTCCGAGAGGCTCCCTTCCCAGCAAGGCCACTCCGACCACCCTACTTGAAACTAAAACCCTGCCCACTCCAGCAAGTGATTCCTTCCCCGCCTGGTTACTTTTTTCATAGCACTTGCCACTTTTAGTATTGTTTTCTTTTTCTTTTTTTGAGACAGAGTCTCACTCTATCACTCAGGCTGGAGTACAGTGGCACAGTCTGGGTCACTGCAACCTCCGCCTCCTGGGTTCAAGCAATTTTCCTGCCTCAGCCTCCTGAGTAGCTGGGATTACAGGTGTGAGCCACCACACCCGGCTAATTTTTGTATTTTTAGTAGAGACAGGATTTTGCCTTATTGGCTGGGCTGGTCTCAAAACTCCGACCTCAGGTGACCTGCCTGCCTTGGCCTCCCAACATGCTAGGAATACAGGCACGAGCTACTGCTCCCAGACTTGATATTTTTTTTATTTATGCCTCTCTCCCTTTCCTCCACCTTACTAAAATGCAGGGTCCAGGAAGGCAGATAGTTTTGTCTATTTTGCTCACTGCCATTATTCTAGCACCTAGAACAAGGCCTGGCATGTGTATTTGTCAATGAGCCACTTGTTGAATGAATGCAAGTGAGCTAAATTATCAAGTTAAAGTCAAGATTTCCTGACCTGGGAACCATAACCAGATGTAACCCGTCAGGTTCTAGTACCTGGGAAGGGGAAAGCTATTGTTGTGAGATGGGGCTTGGGAATATGTAGGCCCTGGGTTTAAAATCTAACCTTGTCATTTGTGAACTGTGTGACTTTGGATCATACTTAACTGTTCTGAACCTCCAATTTCTTCATTTATAAAATGGGGATAATGATAGGATTGACCTTATAGGAGAGTTGGTGGAAACTATCAAAGCAGTGACATACAGTACTTACCCCTGGCCTGGCGGATAGCAAGTGCTCAGTGAACACTTGCTAGGAATGGTGGCACTATTGTCCACAGGGAACACCTTGTAAATCAGCAGTGACTGTTGACCATGAGGAAGTGACTGTCATCTTTCTCTGCTTGGTATTAAGAAAATGCAAGGAGATGAGTCTTGTCCAGCTCCTGCAAGAGCATGATTATGGAACTGCTCTTTAAAAAATGAACATAAATTAGTGGGGGGGGTGTTTGGAGGAGAGTGATCAGGATGGTGAAGGTGAAAAGACTCAAAACCCTGCCCCGTGATGATCACTAGCAAGATCTGGTTTGTTCTGCACCCACTGAAGAAGTTATAGTCCACTTCAGTGGTCCTCAACTGGGCTGCACAGCAGGAGGCGAGCGGCGGGCTAGCCAGTGTTACCACCTGAGCTTCACCTTCTGTCCTATCAGCCATGGCATGAGATTCTCATCGGAGCCTGAGCCCTGTTGTGAACTGCTCATGCAAGGGATCTAGGTTGTGTGCTCCTTATGAGAATTTATCTAATGCCTGATGATCTGAAGTGGAACAGTTTTATTCAGAAACCAGCCCCAAACCATCCGTGGAAAAATTGTCTTCCATGAAAGCGGTCTCTGGTGCCAAAAAGGTTGCAGGGGGTGGGGGTGGGGCTGCTGGTATACAGCAGAGGTTGGCAAATATTTTTGTAAAAGGTTAGATAGTAAATATTTTAGGCTTTGCAGGGCATATGGTCTCTGTCACAACTACTCAGCTCTGCTGTTGAAGTGTAAGAGCATCCATAGGCAAATGAGTGTGACTGTGTTTCAATAAAACTTTATTTACAAAAACAAGTGGAAGGCCACATTTGGTTCCAAGACCTGGGGTTGCTTAACCCTGGTCTTTAGGATCCTATCTCGAGATGGTTGAAAGAATGTTTGAAAGAGGGCTGGATTGTTCTGAGGGTCCTCGAGGGGAGAAGTGGAGCAGAAGGATGGAAAGTATAGGTCCATAAATTATCTTTCCTTTAAGGGTGATGTTTAGCTGGCCAGAGCTTCTGGCTGTGCCTAGTCAGAATGGGCTGCCCAGGGCAAAAGGCTATGAATCCTTCTCTGTGGATTGTTCAGGAAAAAGCTAGGGCAGCTTGGCAGAAATACTGGACAGTGTATTCAAACATTGGGTAAGTCGTTGATTCAGCCTTCAGGGACTTTCAAAATCCCTGCTTATCGGGATGTTCTAAAGCATATGCATGTTGACATTCAGGAAAACAAAGTCACAGATTGGGCACCTTTCCAATGAATGGGTCATTGAAATGTGCAAATTGAAGACAGTTCTACTTTCTAATTATATCACCAAACAGATTTTGTGCACATATCCACAGGTGAAAACCAGCAAGAATGCATTGTCAATTTCACTTAAGATGCAATCCATCTCAGTACTCATCTGGGTTTCTCATGAAGACCCAGACACTGACTGTCAGCCATACTCACTGTCCTACTAATAACACAGCATGAGGAATGCATGATAATTCATTTTCCATTTATATCCAAGAATGGCAAACATCAGGCACAGAAGCCTCCACTCCTCTCACCTCTATGTATTTGAAAAAATTGCTAATTGATCTTGACTGTCTTTCCTCCTGAACCTTGGCCTCAAATAGTTCAGGTTCAAGAATTTTTATAATAGGAGGGACTGGGGCCAGCTGCCTTGCTGGATGGAATAGGGATGAGAGTGTGGGCTCAAAGCTGAAGTATGTCAAAGAACAGAGTGGGGATGAGTGAGAACCTCCAAAGACCCTCTTCTCAAGCACTCCCACTGCCCCACTACCCAGGAATTATTCACAATATCTTGCTTCGGGCATCAACTATCAACTTACCGAAGGTGGCTGTTTCTCATCTTTGGTTAAGGACAACAACAGACATTTTCTAAAACTGCATAGAAGTTGGGCAGGGGACAGTAAGGAGAGTGTGGAAAACCTGGGATTCTTTACTGAGCATCCTGTGCAGAAAGAATCAGGATCTCAGCATCTTTGATATCACGACATCTTAATGAGATAGCTACCGGAAGCGATTCAAACCTTTTGGGTTCAGACACACCCTAAGCCAGGTGCTAGAAAATGTGAAGTCATCAATTGGTGACCTTTATCTGACCTTTTCCTGTGTACTAGAAGCACCTGTGTTCATGCCCCATGAGTAGCAGGGCTGAGCGATGAGAGGAGAATGGGAATATGGTGAGAGTGTGGGAGTGGTGGACTTAACCATGTGTCCACACTTCAAGCTAAATATGGAAGGGAGGCAGGAGAACAAGGGTGGGATCAGTGGTGAGTGTGTTTGTGGAGACAGGTTTAGCCCATTTGGAACACCTTCCAGGAGGGAAGCCCCAAGATTTGAGGGTTTGAAGTTAATGTGGAAATAGCCAGGGTCCTGTCCTGTAAAGTGGTACCTAACATCAAACCCCAAAGGCCAAGGTAACAATGCAAGTGGTGGACTAGACAGAAAGACTGGCCATTGGATGGGTTGGTTGCATAATGAAATTGGTGTGATGGATGGACTAAGCGGGGCAGTTCTGAAGCAAGGCGGGAAGTGGTCAAGGTGCTTGTGTTTGCAACTCACTCAGAATAAAATACAAAACCATAGCCCAGGTTCCTCAGTTTTGGCATTGTTGATATATTGGTCCAGATTGTTCTTTGTTGCTGGGGGCTATTCTGTGCATTGTTGGATGTCTAGCCTTTTACTGCTAGATGCCAGTGGTATCTTCCCCCCAACATTAAAATGTTACAATAGAAAATATTGTGACAATAAATATGTCTCTAGACATTACCAAATGTCCCCGAGGGGCACATCACCCCTGGCTGAGGACCACGGCACAGTCTGCCAGGCTGTGGCATATAGCACGTGTTATGGAATATAGAGGAGACCTGCCAATCTAGCCTGTAATGGGGGACCTGGGAGAAATCGAATAGCCTTGTGGCCCTGGGGATTTTCTGTAGAGTCTCTCAGATGCAATGCCAGCTCCCTGGATTCCATGTTCCCGACTTAAGAGTTCCACCTGTCGTGGTCCCACTGCATATCACACATTTTCCCAGTGCAGCTACTGTTTTCTGGTATTACCAATGTTTGCATGGTTTTATCCCCATAAGACTTTAAACCCCCCAGGGCATGCCTGCATTCCCTTGTCTTTGTGTTTGGGGGACCAAGCATGGAGCCTGGCCTGTAGAAGTTACTGTTTAAATGTTTCCCAAATGCATAAATGCATGCATGAATGAATGAAGTAGTGATTTCATGGATTATTCGCTCCAGCATTACAAATGGACAAGAGGCAGGACCCTGAATCATCAATGCAGAGGAGATATCGGAACTGGAAAATGATGAGTCCTTTCCTCTTCTGGAAAACATAAGTCAGCCTAGGAATGAGGTTCCTGAGTCACTGAGGTGAAATGAACCCAGAATGGGGACAGGAGGGCAGAGCTTGGGTTTGGGACCAGGCCAGAAGGACATGTGGTCTTAACATCCTGACAGCGGCCAACCCAAGGCCCGCTCCCTTCAGCATGGCCTGCAGCGGCCACCCTCGCAGCTCAGCTCCCCCCACGCTGCTGGTGCTTGCACAGGCCAGCAGCTGGGAGCACAGCCACCAGTTAATGGACCTCTTAAAGGGGGGGACCCAGCCAGCAGCCATCAGCACAGTTCCCTACCAAACAGTCCTACTGAACCGGTTATTTCAATTAAAGGACCATTACCATGAAACCCTATCCAGCTCCAGCTCCCATCTGCCGGCAGGAGGCCTTTCTCCTCCCTGTCCCAGGCCCTGCTCTGTGGTTACCCTGCGGCCCTCTCACGGGGGCTCACCGCCTTCGCTAAAACACAGCAGCTGCTGCTAATAAACAAACATATTGATCATACAGATATGGGATGTCAGGGACTTAATTCATGAATGAAGTGAGCTTTAAGAGTGCCCAGTGGGAGCTGGCTCCATTTAAAGGGCCAGCAGCTGCCTGAGCACTCTTCAGGGAGGTTCAAAGAGGCCAGGTGAGAGAACCTCTCTCTGCCCTGTGTCCTGTGGTGTGCTGTTGGGGAGAAATGGAATCTCCTTCCCCGTGGTTATCACCCTACCTGATCAACTTTCCTCCTCCTTGATCCTTTTTGCAACTTGGAGATAGTCAGGTGAGGCTGGCATGGACTTGTATCTAACAAGGGATGGGGCCCCATAGTGGAGGAGCAGAAGACGCTAGACCAGCTCTTGGCTCAGCCTCTCAGGCCCGTTACCCTCATGATGTGATGACAGCCTTGGTCCTGGCAACCAGTCTCTCTCAGGATCTGCTATCTCATTAGAGCAAGGGGCATAAGGACCCTGAGAATCATGCTGAAGGTGGAGTGCTTGCTTCTCCAGGACACTGCCCCCAGCCCTTGTTAGGTACGAGTCCACTCCAGCCTCACCTGACCATCTATCTTCATGTTGTGAAAAGATTCCCAGAGGAGAACAGTGAAGAGCTGGGGAGGGTGAGAACCATGAGATGAGAGAATCCATTTCACTCCAACAACACACCATAGGACTCAGGGCAGGGAGAGGTTCTATCGCCTAAGCTTTGTGAGATTTCCTTTAACAATGCCCAGGCAGCTGCTGGTCCTTTGGGATACCAGGGAGCCCAGAAATGTCTTCATGTCAGATGGACCACCCCTTTGGTAATTTTAGCATTTAGTCAAGAGTGAAGGCTCTGGAGCCAGACTTCCAGGCTTTAAATCACAGCTCTGTCATTCACAAGCTATGTGACCTCAGGCAAGTTTCTTAACCTCTCTGGGCCTTACCTATTCAAAAGGTAAAATTGTAGGTTTAGAGAGTACGATGAACCTAACATGCACGGTGGTTGCAAAAGTGTCTGGCACTTCGTCCATGTTCAGTAAGAGTCCTGCCCCCAGCCCCATCCCGCTTAATGGCCACTGACCTGCACTGCATCTTTATCTCTCTGTCCCTCATGTATTCTCAGGTACCACTCAGGAGAAGGATGGGACTTCATGGAAGCATGACATGCTGCAAAACATTTCTTCTTTTCTCAGTGTCCAGATGGCAGCTTCAGCCTGAGTCCTGGCCTATTTGCCAGATGGAAGCTCAGAGTGGCTTCTGCACCTAGACTGAAATCCACCTCCCCTGAGCCCTCCCAAGCCTGAGCTTTGGACTGCTGTGGGAGGAGGCTGGTCCTTCGGCTCCTGCCGCTCTTTGCTGTAACCCCTCCTCCTCTTGGCTTTGTCTAGAGCTGCACTGACCCAAAATGGTGGCCACCACTAGTCACATGTCACTATTTAAATTTCAGTGAATTAAAGTATAACTAAAAATTCAGCTCCTTTGTCACACTAGCTACGTGTGGCTACCACATTGGACAGTGCAGACTATAAAACACTTCTTTCTTTTTCTTTTTTACTTCCCTAGAGACAGGGTCTTGCTCTCTCACCTGGGCTGGAGTGTAGTGCTGTGATCCTAGCTCACTGTAGCCTCAAATTCCTGGGTTCAAGTGACCCTCCTGCCTCAGCCTCCTAAGCAGTTGGGACTATAGGTGTATGCCACCACACTCGGATACTTTTGTTAAATTCTTTATTTTTTTTGTAAAGACAGAGTCTCACTTTGTTGCCCAGGCTGATCCTAAACTCCTGACTTCAAGTGATCCTCCTGCCTCAGCCTCCCAAAATGCTGGGATTATAGGTGTGAGCCACCACCCCAGATAGAACATTTCAATCTCTGCAGGAAGTTCTATAGTGCTGCTCTAGAGGTCTGTGGCACGGAGGGAGGCACACAGTTTTTAAAGCCCTTGCTACTCAAAGTGAGGTCCATGGGCTAGGACATCCATATCACCTGGGAGGCTCTTAGAAATGCACACTATTGGCCAGGAGTGGTAGCTCAAGCCTGTAACCCCAGCACTTTGGGAGACTGAGGTGTGCAGATCACTTGAGGTCAGGAGTTTGAGACCCACCTGGCCAACATGGCAAAATCCCATTTCTACTAAAAATACAAAAAAAAAAAATTTAGCTGGGCATAGTTGTGGGCACCTGTAATTCCAGCTGTTTGGGGAGGCTGAGGTAGACTAATCGATTGAACCCAGGAGATGGGGGTTGTAGTGAGCTGAGATCATGCCACCGAGACTCTGTCTCAAAATAAAAATAAGAAGAAGAAAAGGAGGAGGAGGAGGAGTGGGGGGGGAGGAGGAGGACGAGGAGGTGGAGGAGGAGGAGGAGGAGGAGGAGGAGGAATAATAATAATGCACACTGTCGGGCCCTGACCCAGACTGAGTCAGAATCTGCATTTTGTTTTCTTTTTTGGGATGGAGTCTCGCTGTGTTGCCCACGATGGAGTGCAGTGGTGCCATCTTGGCTCACTGCAACCTCCACCTCCCAGGTTCAAGAAATTCTCCTGCTTCAGCCTCCCAAGTAGCTGGGATTGTAGACATCCATCACCATGCTCAACTAATTTTTTTTTTCTATTTTTAGTAGAGATGTGGTTCCGCCATCTTGACCAGGCTGATCTTGAACTCCTGACCTCAAGTCATTCGCTCACTCGGCCTCCCAAAGTGCTGGGATTACAGGCAGGCGCCACCATCCCAGAATCTTCATTTTAACAGGATCCCAGGTGATTCCCATACACATGAAGGTTTGGGAAGTACTGCTCTAAACCTCACTATTCCAGTTAGGGAAAATAGAAATCATACCTTATAGTATCATAAAGAAGGTACCCCCTAAAAACTTCTTGCCAAATAGCAAATGCCGAATAAAATCTGGACCCCTTAACTAGCCTCATCTGCCTCAATGGAAGAGGGATTGGTCTGAGTGTCATGGAGGACCTGATGTCGTGTGGAGACCAGGGGGTGCCACCTCTTGTCCTTTCCAGCTGTAGAGGCAGAGTGTGAGGTCCGAAAGGGACCTGCATCTACTCTGGGCATGTGTAAGTGTTTTCTTTCCAAAGCCCAAGCTGCAAAACTCTCAAGGCTCATGGCTCAGAGATGTGGCATTACCAGTTGAGTTCAGAGGTCAGCATCGGAATGCCAGGTGAAAGAAAACGTCTCCTTTGGTCATTAGTGAAGTGAAAGAGAAACAGATAAGCAAGCAGACAGATTATTTCAATGTGCTGTGGTGAGGAAAAGGCAACAGCCATGTCCGTGTGGCTGTGGGAGTTGAGGGGCACTTTGCAGGGGAGCAGGCAGGGGGCAGGGAGGGTGCCTCGGGAGGCTTCTGAAGCAGGGGGCTCCTAGGTTCAGATGAGATGGTTGCAGCGCAGGGGCTGACAGGGAGATGTGGGTGGACATGCAGGGTAAAGGCAGCCTGTGATGCAAAGGGATGGAGTTATGCACCAAGCTGGGAGTACTGGGCACCACACGTTACTTGGTTCTGTTGGAGGATGAAGGATTAGGGTGCACGGAGTCTGGGAGGGAGGGTGATTGAGGTTAGAGGTGGGCAGGAGTTCAGACACAGGGTGGTGTGTGTGGCATTACCAGTTATCCTGTAATGAGAAAGCTGCTGAAGGGTTTTAGGTAGCAGAATCGTGAGACTGTGTTTGTGGATTAGAAAGATCACAGGAGCAACCGTGTGAAGCTGGAGCTGGAAGCAGAGACCATTAGGGGTTAGCATCCAAGTCCAAGGAGAGACAGTACAGGCCTGGACACGGTTGGGCAGGCTAAGGGGAGAGGAAGGAGAGTGTTGAGGACACGTGTTCACACATGAACATGTCAGCTACTAATTCTAAATTATTAATTTTGAATTGCAATCAATTTTCTAAAAAGTTTACTTGTGTTCAGAAATAATTCTTCAGACAGGGTGCAAGTCCCCAAATCTATGAGACAGTGAAAACTGTTTACAGAGGAAAAGTTATAGCCTTAAACACCTTCACTTCTAATGAAGAAAGATCTTCCTTCCCCTGACAAAAGGGGAAGGTGGTGTTAAGTACTCATCTTAAGAAATTAAAATAAGGATGACTAAATAAACCCAAAGAAAATGGGGAAAGAATATTAATCAAGATAAAAGTGATGGTTAATAAGACCTAAAACAATGTATGTCAGAAAAAATAAATAAAACCTGAAGGCTAGTAAAAGAGATGGACCTGCTTTGAGAGCCTGATTAAGGGGAGTGGGAGATATTAATGAGGGAAAACAAAGATGATATAAATTAATTGCCTCAGCAAGATGGTTGGGAATAAATTGTAAACACGGTACTTGAGATTCAAGAGCCTCTTCCTATACCGATAATGGATCTGGCAACCCCAATTCGTGCTTAACCCTCCATTCCCTGGATCCTGACAATACCGGCAATATTTTTTGTTAATATCATTCTTCTTACCGTCATACAAAATAGAGCGACTCATATTTATCCAGCTTTTCTTCTATATGTCAGACACTATGCTAACTACTATGTATAGATTTTATTTTAATCTTCCCAAAATCAAACTAGGTGAATTCAGGCCAACTATGACATTATTTTACAGATGAGAAACTTCAAATTTAGCATGACAGATTAATTTGCCCCATGCACCCACCTTTCTTGAGAGGCTGAGAGGCGGCATTTGCACTGGGACCACGTGACTCCTGGCTTGCTGTGCCCGTACGGTTTAACTGATGCGTCTCCCTCACTGTACCTTCCCCCAGGTGAGAGTGTTTGGCATATTCACAGGTGTAGGAGGAGCACTTTGGTCGTGACTCAGCAATAGTCTGGATCCTGGGTTCCAGTGCATTGCTGTCACTCAGAGGCTCAACTTTGGGGAACATCCTAAGGCTTCTGAGGCTAAACTAAGGCTTCCTAAGGCTCAGTTTGCAACCCTTCTTTAAAACAAAGGAGTTGGACTGGGCTCTTATGCTTTTAAAATTCTTTTACATCTTTAACAATGCCCTGTATTCAGAACTCACTGCTAATGCAGGCTGGCCTCGACATTCAGTGTCAGTTAGGTATGGATGTTCCAGCACTGTGAGTCCTACCCTCTGTGCAGGATTCCTGGCTCCCCTCTAAATAAGCATACCTACCATAAACCAGCACATAAACTGCCACAGTAGGAAGTACGGGCAGTGGCATATGGCAGTACTGCCTTTAGACCTGGTGGGACACACCTACTAGAACCCCCACTCTTTTTTTTTGAGACAAGGTCTTGCTCTCTCTCCCAGGCTGGAGTACAGTGGCATGATCATGGCTCATTGCAGCCTTGACCTCCTGGGTTCAATCAATCCTCCACCCCAGTTGCCCAGGCTGGTCTTGAACTCCTGGGCTCAGGTGATCTGCCCACCACACTCCCCTCTTGACCACACTTCCCAAGCCTACTTCCAGGGCCTGTGTAGGCCTCCTACCCCTGGCCTACCTCTCCCTGATGGATTCACTGGTGGGTGCCTGCCCAGCCCCACGTGGTTTCTGGGGACAAGTGCTGGACCTGTGGACAGAGTCGAGCTTTGTGGGACTTACAGGGTGGAGGGCATCTGGTCCCTTGTGGTATAAGGCTGAGCCAGGAGTGGGAAGAGAAAAGGAACACTGGGGCACGGGGCCTCCCACGGGAACTCACGCCCTGCCATGTGGTACCCTAGAATTTAATAAAGGAAAGTTCAATGGCCTGATAAGAGTTAAACTCCTCACAAAAGACACATATGCATGAGAATAAATATATATATGACTGTAGATAAGATACAGGCAAAAATGATAGGTTGACGGACAGGTCAGGCTTGATTCTTAGGGGGCTAGGTAAATGAACCCAATTTCAGCAATAGACACCCTCAGAAGGGAGGTGCATTGCCTAGAGGAATGCGAGAGACCAGGATGGAGAGAAAGTAAACTAACAGAAATCTATCTTAGACTTCTGATCTCACGACTAGCTCACTTCCTTTGGCCCTGGCTTGAACCTGACTGGAGCAATTTCCTCCAAATAGATGTGCCAGGATTCATTCACTCCTTCGTGCACCCATCAGCGAATATTTATGGAGCATCTCCCATGTGCGAAGCACAGTGCCAGGGATGGCGGTGAGCACAAGCAGATCCGGCTCTGCCTGATGGAAATGCAGCCTGGTGATGAGAGACACATGTGGATTGAAGAATCATAGAATGGTGCAGGCAGCTGTAAACTGATGCTTACGAGGCACCCACCCAGGGGAAGGTCTGATGGCTCCAAGGTGCCAGCAGAGGACCTGATCCGGGCTAGGAGTGGTAGGTGCTTTCCTGAGGATGGGACATTTGGGGATGGAACAGCTTGTGTGTGGTCCCTGGGATGAACAGAA